GTTTAGGGTTTAGGGTTATATATACTCTACATGGGGTTGCCGTGGTTCTACAAGAGCTGAAGAAGGAACGGAAATTGGATCGAACTCCCCTATGTAGCCTGCAGCTGACTTTAAAAGCCCCGAACCTAATCCTTAGAAGACCCGAAACCCTAATATAGGGGCACTGATAATTGGAATAGGGTTTGGGGTATATTATCCTATAAGTATGATAAGGAACCCCAAAAATAATATAGGTAAATATTTAGGCCCCTATAGTAACTCCTGCTGCTGACCTCGACCACGAAGGGTCGGCCCTGCCCGAGCATTCGGACATCAATGTCCTGCGAGCGGGATTATAAAGGAACGATCTAAATGCCTAAACCCTAAACCTGACACCCTAAGCTCCTAAACCCTAAATCCTACATGCCGGCTTTTCAACGAAGAGCTTGAGGTCAAAATGCGGGAAGACAAATGCTCCGCAGTCTCCAGCCCCTACAATCCCAAGGGTCTGAATCCGCAGCCATAGCCCTCTTTTAAGGGTTCAGGGTTTCGGGTTTAAAGTTTAGGGCTTAAGGGTTTAGGGTTTAAGTGGTTAGAGTTTGAAGCTTAGGGCCTGAGGGTTTCAGGGTTTAGAGTTTAGGGCCCCGTCCAAAACGGAAGACCATCGCGCGTCGCCGCATGATCAGAGGCTTTGAATGAGGAATTGGCTTGTTTGGAGCAGGTGTTGCTGTGAAAGGGATCGCAGTACCTGTCGGGTCGGGTTTCAACAGGCAGGCTTTAAACCAGCACTTGAAAGAGCTCTGTCTTGCTTCATCAGGGGGCCGGGTTCCAGTCAACCGCAATCCTGGAGGTGAGAGGACAGTACGTCCGAATGCAGCTGAAACAGACTGATTTGTGCTCTGTAGAGAAAGGAACAGTGCACCCAAAACCGTTAGATACTCCTGCGCACTGCACCCTGCCTGCCTCCCACACATTCACATCGTAACACCCGAAACCCTAAACTCTAATCTTTGTTTTTTTGGGGGGGTTCAGGACCAGGACTCCACCGCCATAGAGCCGCAGATAGAAAGCCAACGCAAGGGGCTTGGAGTTTATACATCCGAAATTTCAGCCGGACCTCCAACAACCTGTCGGAGGCGGGTGTAGGAAACTGCAGAATCTAAGGATCTCGGATATGAGTTGTAGGGTTCGGGATGAGGGTATGGGGCATTTTTTGTCGCAGGGTTTTAAGCTCAGGGCCGTCGCAACCCACAGAAACACCTGCATGAGGCAAGCAGTCCTCTCTTCCTTCCGCATGGAAGCGCACCTGGCATGAAAGCCCCTCAGCCCTACCCGGACCCTACAGAACCTACATCTTAAGGACTCAGAACAGGAAATGAACAGATGGAGCCTAAAAAGGTACCCTAAGGGTCCATGCGCCCAAATAGTATATACTTTGGCCCCAAAGTACCTATATAGAGACTGCTTTAAGGCCTTAAAGTATATACTAGTTGGGTACATGGACCCTTAGGGTAACCCTAAACCCTAAACCCCTAAACCGCCCTAAACCCTAAACCCTAAACCGACTCAGAACAGGACATGAACAGTTGTAGCCCTAAAAAGGTAGGTTCTTTAGGGTCCAGGTAAGTGCCACGCCGAACTCCGAGGCTCGAACCCCCAGGGCCCTGGCACTGCACGGTTTAGGGTTTAGGGGTTTAGCTTGGGGGTTTAGGGTTCAGGGTTTAGGGCTTAGGGGTCTAGCTTAGGGGCTTAGGGTTTAGGGTTTAGGGGTGTAGTTTAGGGGTTTAGGGTTCAGGGTTTCGGGTTTTAGGGGTTTAGTTTAGGGGTGTAGCTGGGTTTAGGGGTTTAGTTTAGGGGTTTAGGCTTCTGCGAAGAAGTATTCAAGGGTTAGGGTTTAGGGTTTAGGGTTTAGGGTTCTGCAAACAAGTATTCCCGTTGGACCTATCCTGCGGCACAAGCCTGTGGCTCCTATACAGGATCCCTTAAAGAAGTCGCCTAATCCGTCAACCTTCTGGGCGCGTAGTAGACTTCGACGGACACCACTCTCCAATGTTCACAACGTTGAAGGGGTAGCCCGCCCAACGCGCGCCGGTCCTTAGTTGTGTCGGACCAGGAGCATGTCCCTGCGCACCGTCACGATGCGCGCAAGAACCTCAGAGCAGCCCCAGCCCAGCCGGGCTCGAACTGCATCCAGCGGCCTCGGGGGCCGGACCCTAGGGTACGAGCGGCACGTCCACACAACGTGCTCGAAAGTAGCCATTGCACATTTGCAAGGGCATACCGACTGCTGCAGTCCTTGCTGGTGCTGAGCCTGCTGCTGCTGTTGCTGTCTCTGCCGCTCATTTTGCTTGGCTCTCAAAAGGAGCTCCGGGCTGATGAGCGCACCGGTAATGAACCGACACTGTGTGTTTATCCGCCCCTACAGCAGCCTTGCGCACGCGAGCCACAACACGTTCATTGTATGCCCACTGTGCCCAGGTACATAATTTAAGCAGGCTGTCTCTTAATCTGTGCCTAATACTGCCTAACATAGCCCCAATAAGGATCCCAATATACATCCTCTCAAAACAGAAACCCCAAAAGAAACAGACCACCAACCTGTATGATGCATCAGCATCATACACTCTCCCAAATACTACCCTACAAAACTACTATCCCAAACTCTGCTACCTAATATTGGGTCCTTACAAGCCCTTTCGTTTAAGCTTACTTGTCCAAGATCCCTAGGGGAACTGGAGGTTAACCCCGCGGTCCACGTATGCTGCTAGGGTCAGGGGTTTAGGGTTTAGGGCCCCGAAACCACGATGGGGATGGTATTTTGAGGCCCGATTCCATAACTGCTAGTGAGTAGTATACATGGAGGTGCCCTTTCTAAGAACCTACTACGGTTGATGATATAAATTCTGCATAACCCATAAGAAGGAGTTGACCATAATTCCCATAGTTTAGGGGCCTCAAGGTAATGAAGGGTTTATATTATCAACACTAGTGAAATCCCCGGCTGCTTCGGGTGCTAGGGTGGGCATCTTGCTCACCAAACCCTATGCCTGACATAACCATGCAGCAGTTTTGTGATGGTTAGAACCCAACAGCACCCTAAACCCTAAACCCTAAACCCTAAACCCTGAACCCTAATCCCTGAACCCTAATCCCTAAACCCTATAACCCCTAAACCCTAAACCCTGAACCCCAAACCCTAAACCCGCAACAATGCTGCAAGATGCACGAACAACCCTGTAAAAGTCTTCCACACCCTTAGAAGACTCTGTGAACGCATCCTAAAAGCAATCGACCCCATAGATCTAAGCCCTAGCCTAAGGGGTTCAGGAATACGGTTTAGGGGTTTAGCGGTTTAGGGTTTAGGGGTTTAGGGGTTTAGGGGTTCAGGGTTTAGAGGCTTAGGGTTTAGGGGTTTAGGGTTTAGGGGCTTGGGTTTAGGATCCCACCAACCACAAACCCTCTGGGATCCTTAAAGAGGCACCTCTGAAGCACCGAAGAGGTCTGCCACGGGCTTTCCGATCTCTTCCTTGCAGGTTCAGGTTCAGGCGTAGAGGGGGGTGTGGGAAAGACCCAAAAGCCTCCTTAGAGTAAACCAGCACGTGCCCAACCTAAACCTAAACCCTAAACCCTAAACCCTAAACCCTAAACCCAAAACCCTAAACCCTAAACCCCATCATCCCGAAGTGCAGAACACTGGCAACACCCTACAAATTTTACAGCTCAGCAAACTCATTCCAGTAAAGCTTCCAAAGCCCTTTGTGAATTACACAGTATCTTCAAGTTTTTTAGAATTCCGTAAACCCAAAAAACCCTAAACCCTAAACTCCTAGAATCCTAAACCCTAAACCCGAAAATCCTGAACCCTAAACTCCTAGAATCCTAAACCCTAAACCCGAAAATCCTGAACCCTAAACCCTAGAACCCCAAACCCCAAACCCCAACCCCGGAGCGGGACCCGGGCAGTTTCCTTGCAGTTTTGGTGGGTTTGGGTTTTGGGGTTTAGGGTTTGGGGGTTTTTGGGTTTAGGGCTTAGGGGTTTAGGGTGTGGGTTCAAGAGGCCTGTTTATGGCTCAGGGTTTGTAGGGTTCTACAAAGGCTTGGGGTTTCAGGGCTCCTTTGAAAAGATCTATATGGTTTTATAGGGGCTCGGGTTTGGGGTTTAGGGCTCTGCAAGGGCTTGGGGTTTAGGGCTTCAGGCTCGGTTTCAGAGCTTGGGGTCCAGGGTTCCAGGCTTGTGTTTGGGATGGGTTTTGGGTTTAGGGTTTAGGGTGTAGGGTCTAGCGTTTAGGGTTTAGGGCTTTTAGGGTTGAGGGTTTAGGGTTTGAGTCATGGGACCTGCAGGATTTGTAATTCCGACCGTCACGGCATGCGGCATTCAAAGCCCCGCAAGAATGCGAAACCAAGAGCCCGGATTTGGAGCAGGGCCCATGCCACAACCCTAAACCCTAAACCCTAAACCCTAAACCCTAAACCCTAAAACCCTAAACCCTAAACCGAGAAGTGTTGCCATCTCAACCTCCTGAAAGCGAACCCTCGCACAGAATGTACGGGCCTTAATAGTTAGAATAGGGTTTTGGGGCCCATTATATACTTATAATAAGGAGCCCCCCCAAAAAATAGTATAGGTAATTATTTAGGCCCCTTTTTTACCCAACACCTGCTACCCTTAACCCCGTACGTCCCGCAACCCACCATCCGCCACATCCGTCAAATCCCTCAACCCGCCTGTCATGGAGAGGAAGTCCTCTGTGAAAAGCAGCGTGAACCAGAAAGCCACGCTGCCGCCAAGCATGCACCACCTTAGGCTCAGGGTCCCTGTAGGGTCCTTTGGTTCTAAAGGGTGCCGTACGATTTTGGCACCTAGAAACCGGACCCTAACTTGGAGAACTACCCATTTGTTGAGGGCTTCATGATTTTTGAGGGTTTTGGGTTGAGATAAAGGTTTCCGCGGCTTACAACACTGAAAGGTTCAGGGGACTTGGTGTGTACAGTGAGATGTAAGGCAATTGTAGTTCAAGCTACTTTAAGTCTGCTGCTTGCGACCAGTGCATCTTCCTTACACCGAACGCACCGTAATCCCGAACACCGAAACCGTTACCGTTACACCTCAACGCGCCCCTGCGAGCCACATGTAGAAACCCTTACAGCCCTTGTGTAGAACCTTTCAAACAGGGCTGCAAAGGTCCAAAGAAGGCTTTCAGAGAGATCTACAGGGCTTCTTCAACTTATGAGGAATACTCCATAAAGTAGTCGAGGGTCCCTAACAAAAAGAGTAGGGTCTTGAGGCCCACTATATGATAATTGTATTAAGGAACCCCCAAAATAGTATCGGTAATTGTTTCCGCCCCTACAGTATACAACTTTCTGGAATAACCTTAAGATCTAGGGCTTAGGGTTTAGGATGGTTTAAGGCTTATACGGTTTAGGGTTTAAGTTTAGGGTTTCTTACAACCATCTGCAGTCTCTTCATGCACCTAGTGTCTTTGTGCTTGTAGTTATACGGTACTTCAGATTCATGGGTAGTTGCATGAGTAGGTTTAGAAAGTAAGGAAACTATAGTCATAACCGGCATGAAGGGACTTATAGCCCCACTTAAGACAAATGAACCTCCAAGTAGAGACTGTAAGAAGATACTATATTATTCCAACCCCCCCCCCCCCCAGTAAAACTAATCAAATCTGATGGGTAGTTCTCTAGATTAGGGTACATGTTTCGGCCCCCAATAGTAGAACGGCACCCTTATAAACAAGGACCCTAAAAGGAACTCAACCCTAATTTAAAGAAGTACCCTCGTAACTACCTTGAACTACCATAACTTACTTTTTTGTAGGTCCTTACTATAAACCTCATATATACTTTATAAGGACCCTACAACAAAGTAGGTTTTGGTAGTTTAAGGTATCCATGAACCTCCAGGTATGGGAGTTCGATCTCGTAATTTTTGGGGTGCGGTCGTCGGTCCTGAGGCTTTCTTTGGAGTAACTAGCTGGGGGCTCAGGGTTTGGTGGTTTAGGGTTTAGGGTTTAAGGGTTTGGAGCTGAATCCTGAACCTAAACAAACCCCATACCCTGTGGGGTCTACGCAAAAGTCGATCTCAACGCCCTGCACTACGCCAAAGGTTCTGCCCCAAAGGGATCTAATTCCAGACAAAACTCCGGAAGCCTTAAGAACCTCCACAGCTCTCGAACCGTTTGGGGTTTAGGGGTTCAGGGTTCAGGGTGTCGGGTTTAGGGTTTAGGGTTTAGGGATTTAGGATTTAGGGTTTAGTGTCACCTAGGGTTTTGGGGTCTCTGAGGCTCGTAGTGCTGAGGGTCTCACGTGTCTGCAGTTTTGGGCTCCTACACTCCATTGACCCGAGTGTACAAGCCCTAGCTGAGCGGCACTTTAAACTCGCGCAACCCAGAAACCCGAAAACCCTAAACCCTAAACCCCAGGAGCAACCTGAAGCCTTAACGCCCCAAACTCTGAAATGCTAGTTCAAACTTCGAGGACCCTCAGGAAATCCTCGTAAAATCCTTGTGCAAGCTGTTGCAACGCATTCAACAAGCCCGTGTCGAACGTGCACAAGAAAGCAAACCCTAAACCCCAACCCTAAACCCAAAACCCCAAAACCCTGAGCTGCCAAGCGACATGCTGATAGAGATGTCGGCGCCTTCCACCTGGTGGTGGTACAAGGGCAGCACGCCTGCACCGGTGTAGGAGGCAGGAATTTAAGGTTTGGTTTAGGGTTTAAGGATTTAAGGGTTTAGGGTTTAAAGGGGGTGGGTTTCTTGGAGGTTCACTAGTAGCTAGACGTCATTTTTTTGCAGGATAACTATAGCTATAACCCAAAATTCATGGACTTACAACCCCACTTCTAGCTACCCATGAGCCTCCAAGTACAAACCCTTAAACCCTGAACCCGTAAGGTACCTTCTACCCTAAACCCTAAACCCTAAACCCTGAACCCGTATAGTACCTTATAGATCCCTATCACTGCAGCGCTGTCAAATACCCCGCAACACACCCACGACCGGATGGAAACTCCAACTCTCAGCAGTTCTAGTTAGGGGTTTTTAGTTTTATCAGCGACCGGAACAGTTACACCATTATCGGATACATCGTCACTGTGGTATTGCAATAGCAGCAGGAAGGAAAGGAGACTTAGCAACTTTCTGCGTTCATCGCCACATTTGCATTACATGCGTTCAGAGCTGTGCTGCGGTACCTGCAGGTGGTCTCTGAGAGGTGTAGGAGCCCTGAGTTACAGCATTTTCCGCACCACGCGAACCAGCTCACCGGCTGCAAACATCTCCGTGATGCCATTGCTAGGCCAGGACAGCTGCTTTCTGTCCTGCATGGCCCTGCTCTGGCATCCCTCAGAGAGATCTGCCGAAGACGTGCGTCCCTCAGATAGGCTGCAATTTCCAAGGACCCACCAGGTATGACACCATTGTTGACAACAAAATCTTTTGCGAATCCATCGAACACTTCTGTTGATGGACAGTTGAAATTGTCCGGCGTTTGGTAACCTGCCGTCAGCAACGCTTGAGCCACCTCATGTTGCAGCTTTGCTTCCTTCAGCATCTTTGCCCAGCGCTCGCTGGCCATTGCACAATACAAATGAGAAAGAGCAATCGCTAAGAAGATAACACCACACTGGGAGAGACTGGAAGCTCACGCGAGCAACTCAGGCAATGCAATCTGCAGCACACAGCACACAGCAAATGCTGAAGCATCGCACCATCTGCTCCACAACCATGACACGCTGCAGGGAGGTACCTGGACACCACAGGGCAGCAAAAGACAGGACACAGAATGTTTAAAGCCTACAAGAACCCCCGGTCACGCTTCTGTTCAGGCACTCGGGCCTGCAGAGACACACCCGGAATGACCGCACAATTCGAAACCATGGAAGCAGGGATTCTTGTCCCAAAATTCCCAGTGCGTGCCCAGCTCTTTGGCCGGCCGACAGGCCAGCATCCATTCCTTGTCATCCCTGCCCCGGACTGCCGCACAGCCTGATGCTGTGTTGAGTAGCCACTGCTGTCCATCCTGCGCCACATCCGGCAACTCCTCGCACTCGTTCGCCTCCGGGTCGTCGCTTCCGGCTGCACTTATGAGAATTCGACGCATTGGCGCAATCGACACTAGAGCACTCACCATCGCCCTCTTCGTTCTCAGTCTCCGACTCAGTGTCGGAATCCAATGTTGGAACCTCGACGGTGCTTCGAAAGAGCTCGTCATCAAGGCATTCCAGGCCGCGGTGGAGCGGCACAGCAGCACCTTGGGACGCCATCCAGCACGCAGGGAGCGCAGTATCTTGCGCTGGCACTTCAGCTGCGGGCCAACGTCATCCCTAGAGTAGCGCAAGACGACGCACCTGCGAACCTGCGGTGTCCTTGAGCAAATCGCAGAACTGAGTCAACATCCAGCCCGCGACCCACGATAGCAAGGTCGCTTTCATTGAGTGGAGCGAGAACATGCAAGCAACCTCGGGACTCAAACCTGCATGGACAACGAAAGTACGTCTAAATTGGCAGAGCATGCTGGAATATTTAAGAGGTCTGCCACGCTGCGCCAGGAGGAAGCCCTGCATTGGGTGTGCACCCCGAAGCTCGCGAATCTCGTCGTAAAGTGCCTTTGCCCAACACGACCTGAAAGTCCGCCAGAAAACAAAGCCCGAGTCATGCCACGCTTGCTTGTTTTGGTCCTCCATGACCAGCCCCGCACGGAATCGCCATCTCACAACACTGAGTTCAAGCTCATCATTTGTATGACCACCGTGGACTCGCCCAAATGGTCAACACCGCGCACAGAAGCAGTGTGTGATCACCGGGATCGTCCAACAAGGCTGTTCGAGCCGCTGGACAACTATCAAGGGTAGCGGCAGAGCTTCCTTTACACGTTGCGGTTTCCAGCTATCCTGCGCCAACCAAGCCGAAACCAGCGGGCTTTGCACAACAGACTCCAACTGCACAAGCTCTCCATGGGCACATCGGGTGCCTCTGCTGCTCCAGCTGACAATTAAACGCTGCAAACCGCACACCCCGCAGAACACTCTTTGCAGACCGGACACATCCGGACCCACGTTTCCTCAGCCAGACAGGCTCGCAAGGAAATCCAGCATCCGTCCCATCGAGGGCTTGCCCGGCTTCCAGGATAAGGATGCACAGAACCCAACCCAGGTACGCCATCCGCACAGATGTGCCTTCAGCGTCGGCGGTGCCCTGTCTAAAAACAGCGGCCTCTCCTCACTGCAATCCTCCAGCTCCAGCAGAAGTATGCCGTCCTGTCGAAGACAAGACCTACAAAGGCTGCGCACGCCAGACCCCTGAGTTCTGCGTCCTCGTAGTCGGCTAGCGAGCATACCCACCTTGGACTCCCGGCAAGTGATGCCCCTGCAATCTTTGCCACCATCGCTCTAGTGCCGCTAGCCCTCGCTGGTTCCGCACTTCTGCCACTGTCTGGCGCGTTCGAACTCTCGCATAAACGGAAGGGGTTGTGGAACACGATACGGCAGGGGTCCGGCCGAGGAGTAGCCATCTCGAGTTCTTTATCCTTGCCGAACCTTCTTCAGCGGCCGCGAAGCAGCAGCCATACAACAACAGCGAGAGAGACCCACAAAGCAACTTCGATAAACTATCGGCTGCAGTGATCAGCCGCCGACGAAGCGAACAGAGAAGACAAAGCAACAAGTTGATACTTCGCATGACATGCACTAGTGATCGTGCCACACACAAGGCGTGAGGTAGCCCTAAAGGAGCCCTTATAGTTCCTAATTACAGGAAACCCTAAACCATAGCCCACGAACCTCCAAGTACAGTAGGGCGTTCGAGGTCTTAGTAGGTAAACCCAAAAATAGCACGGCATCCTCACGGCATCCTTAAAAAGGACCCTAAACGGGACCCTAACTTGGAGAACTACCTACAAAGAACCCTTATACACCCTTATAGAAACCCCGTAGAAGCCATTTAAGGAACGCCAAAGGGGACCCTAATTCAGAGAACGACCCATGTGGGGGTTTTTGTTAGGTTTTGGGGTCTTTCGGCATCTTAGGACCTCAAAGGCTTTGGGTCTTCGGGCCTTAGGCGCTGAGGGCTTGGGGTTTTGGGTCTTTGGGATTTTGCGGATTTTGGGGTTTTGGGTCTTCGGGGTTTGGGGGTTTTGGAGGTTTTGGGTTTTTTTGTGGTTTTTGGGGTTTTGGGATTAGGGGTTTAGGGTTTATGGGCTTTGGGTTTTAGGACATTGGGGTTTCACATGAATGTGCTAGAATCTCCTTTATAGTACCCTGTAGTATCCTTATTCTAGTACTCCCTATAGTAGGTCTGTCCGCACTGATGGCTTGGGGCCACTTGGGGCCAGCGGTGTCGGTAGTTGCGGTGGTTCTCCTGCACCCGCGGCGGTCAGCCCTAAACCCTAAACCCTAAACCCTAAACCCTAAACCCTTTGAGCTTCCGCGACCTCGTAAAAAGGAACGACGAAGGCTACGACCCTACACCCTAAACCCCTCAACCCCTAAACTCCCACGGTTTAGGGTTTAGGGTTTAGGGTTTAGGGTTTAGGGTTTAGGGTTTAGGGTTTAGGGTTTAGGGTTTAGGGTTTAGGGTTTAGGGTTTAGGGTAAACCCGAAACCTTAAGCCTTAGACCCTTAAACCCCAAAAAGCCAAACCCTAAACCCCTACAGCGCCCAAACCAAAAGCCCCTAAAGCCTTAAACCCTAAACCCTAAATCCTAAACTCTACTCTAAACCCTAAACCCTAAACTAAAGCCTTAAACCCTGCAGAGGTGGACTCTGTCCAGCTCCGGGAGCTTTGCGCGTGGCCTTGGGTTTAGACTTTAGGGTTTAATTTAGGGTTCCACGGTTCCTTGAAGAATTCCTTTCCTAAACCCTAAACCCTAAAGCCCTAAACCCTAAAGCCCTAAGCCCTAAACCCTAAACCCTTAACCCTAAAGCCGAAACCCTAAACCCCTCATACCTAAACCCTTTCAGGGCTCCTTTCTTAGGCCCTCCGGCGCCTATGGCCACCAGACCGAAGCAAAGGAGCTGGACCACAAAACTCACCTGGGGTTTAGGGTTTAGGGTTTAGGGTTTAGGGTTTAAGGGTTTAGGGTTCTGAGTGGAGTCGGGCCGCCCATAACGTAGGTGCCTCAGGGTTCCTTAAAGGGTTCTATAAGGGCTGGACCACAAAACTCACCTGGCGTTGAAGGAAACTACAGGTGGGGAGTTTAGGGCTTGGGGTTTAGGGTATATAGGGTTTAGGGTTTAGGGTATATATGGTTTAGGGTTTAGAGTTTAGGGTTTGGTTGGGGTTTGGGGTTTAGGGTATATAGAGTTTAGGGTTTGGGGTTTAGGGTTTAGGGCTTTAGGGCTTTAGGGCTTTAGGGGTTTAGGGGTTTAGGGTTTAAGGTTTGGGGCTTTTGGTTTAGGGCTCTGGGTTTGGGGCTTAGGGGTTAGGGTTTAGGGCTTAGGGCTTTTGGTTTAGGGCTTAGGGCTTAGGGCTTTGGGTTTAGGGTTTAACTTAGACGTAAATCATTCTTCTGGCTGCCTTGCTGTCAGTCAGTTCCGGGCACGAAGATCCAGAACATAGCGGGATATTACCGGGTCTAGGGTGGCCTTCAACATTAAACCCTGAATCCTAAAGCCTGAAACCCTACTAGATGGGTGGATGTATGTTACCAGGTCTTGCATGTTACCAGGTGACT